TAATAGTAATAATGATATTACTACCACTACTACTACTACTACGAATGGTAATAACAATAATAATAATAATGGTGATATTAATTGCGGTTTCTTTCTCTATTTGAGCCAGATACTGTATAGCTACAAGGATATAAGTAGCTAATTTTGCACACAGTGATGTGATACTCTAGGTACTTCTGATATGAGGGATGCCCCCTGCCATCTTCATATGGAAGGGAGGCTTCTCTACTTATGTTGTAATGTGTAAGGCCAGACGCTCCTGCTTGTTCCCGTACTCGCCTCAGCGTCTGCTTGACGGCGATTTCAGTCGTTGTTAGATGAGCCCAGCCGACTTCTACTCTAGCGTAAAATGCGTTGAGGAAGCACGTTCCTTCATGGCTGCCAATGTCACCTCCACCTCAGCCTTCCCAGGGTCAGCAGGACGTCTGTGGATGGGCTTTTGTCACTTCACAATTTCCTCCTTATTTGATGGTGTGAGCCCTGGTTCCGTCTTCGCCTCTCCAAATAACTGTCTTAATGGTCCCCCTCTCAGCTTCATAGGTCAGTGGACGTCCAGATTATGTGAGGCCAAAGACTGCCTAACTGTACCTACCTCGCGCTATAGTTAGCCCTACACAGTATCTGCACGACATTGAGTATCCTCCATCAAACAAGTATCTGACGTTCCGTCCAGGTCATAGTGTCCCGATGCCATGGAGACTATGCACCATTTTGCAAACTTTATTCATTCCATATTTCCATTTCTTTCTATGTCAAACTGAAATTCTTCACCTATCGAAGTTCATTAAAAAAATGGGTTGCGTAAAGGATGGACAAGAAAAAAAAGATAAATAGATAAAGTATTTGACTGGAACACTGATTTCCTCTGCATATTTAGGCAGAATTGATCCTGAATTTACGCGCTTTTCCATATGACCCGCTTAAAACATATCACAGCACCGGTAAAAACAGAAAAAAACGAGGTTGATCAAATTACCGAATAGTCATGTTGACCGCCTGATATTGACTTTTGTTTTATACCATCGAAAAGACTACTAACATTTCGCAGTATTACTAACACACCCTAGATTGTGCAATACACGCTTCAAAGACCAAAGAAAAAAAAATAAAGGAGTAGTTAGCAAGCATCCGAGGGATCCGTTATTGTATAGGACGGTAAACAGTGTCACTCAAAAGAAGACGCGAGTTCAGTCAAAAGACAAAACTCAAATATGCAAATAATGTTATACTTCTGGATAAAGATGGCATGAGTTTCGAAGTTTCGTTCACGTGTTCGACCATTGTTAGTTAGTTGATTGTACTCTTGGCTTTATCATGGTGGGGTCGCAAAGTTTAATTGGAAGCCCGGTCCGAAACCTCACTCATAGAGGAGTACTCACTAACATAGCTGTTCCAGTATGGATGGAAGTGCAAGGAAAGGGAGGAATGATATATATATGTATGTATATGTATATATATATATATATATATATATATATATATATATATATATATATATATATATATATATGTATGTATGTATGTATTTTATATATGTTTATATATATTTATAAATGTTTTTATGTATATATATATATATATATATATATATATATATATATATATATATAAATATATATATATATAATATATATGTTTGTGTATGTCTGTCTATTTATATATCTGTTTTTCTATCTATTTTCCGTATGTCTGTCTATCTATCTGTCTATTTATGAATATATGCATCTGTCTATCTCTTTATATTTATCTATCTATCTATCTATCAATCTATCAACCTTTCTATTTATCATTCTATCATATCTATCTATTCATCTATTTATCTATACACACACACACACACACATTATTGAACACAGTAACGTGTGCACAGAAATGAAAATGTGTGTGTGTGTGTGTGTGTGTGTGTGTGTGTGTGTGTGTGTGTGTGTGTGTGTGTGTGTGTTTGTGTGTGTGTGTGTTTGTGTGTGTGTGTGTGTGTGTGTGATGTATGTATGAATGTATTTGTACATATGTTTGTATGCATATACAGACATATATTCATACAGGTATATATATGTTTATATACATATATATTATATATATATCTTATATGTATATATATATATATATATATATTATATATATATATGTGTGTGTGTGTGTGTGTGTGTGTGTGTGTGTGTGTGTGTGTGTGTGTGTGTGTGTGTGTGTGTGTGTGTGTGTGTGTGTATTATATATATATACACACACATGTATACATATATATATATATATATATATATATATATATATATATATATATATATATATATATATATATATATACATATATATATATTACACGCACGCACGCATGCACGCACGCACGCACACACGCACGCACGCACGCACACACACATATATATATATATATATATATATATATATTACTCATTCGTGGTCACAAACAATTTGACAGCTGTAAGTTGTTAAATATGCTACAGAAGTAACCATACATGGACAGAACAGATAAACCAGTATTACTGAATGAATCAGAAAAAATAAAAGCATAAATGTAATAATCTTATATTTTTCTGTGATGTTACAAGGTGTAAGAGTAAAGTTGTAATAAAATTTTACAAGAAGGTGAAAGATTAACTGTAAAAATCCACCTTTGTTTACTGAAAGAGAAATCACAAAGTGTGGGTAAGAATTAAGTATGTATCATCATTGTCTATTTAATTAATAATAGTCAATTAAAAAATATGCTCATGCAAAATTTCCAAATAACAAGACTAAGTGCATCTTAACCCCAGTGTGAAGAAAAGAAAAGAAAAGAAGAGAAGAGAAGAGAAGAGAGGAGAGGAAAGGAAAAGAGAAAATAAAATAAATGAAATAAAATAAAAAAGAGAAGGACAGGAAAGGAAAGGAAAGGAAAGGACAGGAAAGGAAAGGAAGGGAAAGGAAAGGAAAGAAAAGAAAATAGAAAAGAAAACAGAAAAGAAAATAGAAAAGAAAAACAGAAGCAAAGAGAATAGAAAGAAAAAATAAAATAAAATAAAAAAATAAAAACAAAGACAAGAATAAAAAAGAGCTAGAGTAAAAGCAAAACAGAAAGAAAAAAAGCAATGGGCCATGAGAATAAATCTGAATTTGATCTAACAACACTATAAACAAAGTACTGTATTGTATTGTAAAGGTTGGTACATAAGATGCATAACATTAGATCTTACTAAGGTATCTTTCTCTTATATTCACTCCTGAGGATTAGATAAAAAATGCAACATTTATAAAAAACTATCTATATTTGTGCAAAATTCAACATGTCTATAAACACAAGTGAATAAAGCCTAACTTATGAAATAGTTAATCTATCAGATTACAAATTTAATACAGAATATTTTCAATTTTCCACTATGTTAATTTCCTCTTTACAGTAATGCATATCTCTATAAAACTACAATGCTCTTTAGTAAATGAAAATAACTTCTCCACATAAATATACAATATCCCCATCAAAAATAATTCACACTGCAAATAACTCAGAAGAAAAATCAAATAATAAAATTGTACTAATTTGATATCATTACATATGACATCTTTCCCTACAAATTTTGTACACTTTCAATACAGAAAAGAAATAAAAAATATCAAAACTCTTACATTTGCATCATTTGCAAATCTTAAATTACTCTTCATTCATTAAACTCCACACCATATAAAAATAATGAATTAACTGTCGCACATTTTTCGCAAATTTGAAAGGCCTTTACTAATTGAATTTTCCATGGCTTTGTATCCAGGCTTCCTATAATTATCTCGCCGTTTGGAAGAAGCGGGACCATAATACTCATACGTTGCAGGGGGAGCAAATTCGTTTCTTCTTTCCTCCTTTTGGACAGAAGGTTCTCCGCAGTCCTGACTCCCGAACGCTGGGTCTCCATAGGCCTGCGAATCTGTCCCTGCATTGCTTGGCAGCCCCATCTCTGCATTGGTAGACGACGGTCTCGAATTCTGCTTACTGTGCCGCTGTTTGCTTGGCTCGTACAGGGTAGGTGGCGCAAACTCGCTGTTCCGCTGCTCCCTCTGCCGCAGGACCCACTCTTCCTGAGAAAGGGCTGATTTAACCCCCTCCTTCCCCATGTCCCATTCCCTCGTGTGCTTCCGTTTTTGGGCCCGTTTCAGTTCCTCACGGGATGTTTCCTCCTCCTGCAAGTTGGCTGGGGCTGGAGGGCCAATGATGGTCCCTTCATCCTCTTCCTCATCTTCCGAGGCTGGAGGAGTCTTCAGTTTGGCTTGTTCTAGATCTTGAATGAACAATTGAGGTAAATTAGTGTCATGGATTGAAAAATGTGAAAAAAACATAACAAAAAGTAAGGAAACTAATCTATATCGGTAACTATATCTATTCAACTAAAGAACCAAAATGTATGGATATATTTTTGATACATACATACATTATATATATATATACATATATATATATATATATATATATATATATATATATATATATATATATATATATATATATATAAATATATATATATATATATATATATATATATATATATATATATATATATATATATATATATATATATATATATAAATATATATATATATATATATATATATATATATATATATATATATATATATATATATATATATATATATATATATATATATATATATATACATTAAGTCCCCAACTTAAGAACATAATGGGGACCAAGAGGCTGTTTGTAAGTTGATTTGTTTGTATGTCGAAAGTCGGGTCTCCATTACCTTTTTTCCCATTGTTTTAAAGTTTTGTTTACATTAAGAATACCTGTAAATAAATCCCAATAAGTACGACATACCTTATACAGTACCAAACTCTTGAACTATATTTGTGCCTGGGAAATTTTAAGTTTGCTAGCATCTTTCAAACAATGTTTTGTTTATTAGTACTTAAAAAATTTTGTTTGTATGTATGGAATGTTCATAAGTAGAATGTTCTTAAGTAGGGGACTATCTGTATATATATATATATATAT